CCCGCTGACCCGCGCCCCTTTTTCTGCCCAGAGCGGCATCATGGTACCCCTGGAGATCGTCCTTCTCAAGAAGGTGGGCTCCGGCTTCAGAGGGGTCATCAAGCTGCTGGACTGGTACGAGCGGCCCGACGGGTACCTGATCATCATGGAGCGGCCTGAGCTGGTGAAGGACCTGTTCGACTTCATCACGGAGAAAGGTGCCCTGGACGAGGAGACGGCCCGCGGGTTCTTCCGGCAGGTGCTGGAGGCGGTGCGCCACTGCTACGGCTGCGGTGTGGTGCACCGGGACATCAAGGACGAGAACCTGCTGGTTGACCTCCGCACAGGCGAGCTGAAGCTCATTGATTTTGGCTCGGGGGCCCTCCTCAAGGACACAGTCTATACCGATTTCGACGGTACGTGCCCCCCACCCTTCCCGTGCCCCTCCCGGGGTGACGTCCTCCCTAGAGCTGCTGCTTAGCCCCTTTCCAGTGACCAGTCACAACAAGCAGAACCCCTGACACGGGGGTTCATATCAGATCTATCGGTAATGGAAACCTGTGGACCCGAAGCCGCTTAGGGGTGTTCAGTTGCGCAGGAAAGAAGCGATTCCAGGCAGTGACGCAGCAGTTTATGTTTCCCTGTCTTGGAAAAAGCGGGGTTTTTTTCCTAGAGGGTGATCTGTTTACATGGAGGTTTTGCCAGTGTCGGATATTTCCATGTGTGGATATGCAGTTTTTATATGCGGCGTTTTTTTTAACTCGGAGTGGTACCTCCCCCGCTCCCATTCTGCCAGTGTCCTGGAAATCCCGCATTGCAGATTTTAAAGCGATGGGGACAAATGCATTCTCTCAAAATGAGTTGCTACAGCGGCTGGGGTCGATGCTTTAGAGGTGGGAAAGCTGAACATAAGCCGGCATGTGAGCAGAGGGGAGCATTTCCCCGGTGCTTGGAGTGTGACTGATGTAACGCGGGGTCTCGCTCCCCCCGCCCCAGCTGCCGCACTCACATCTGTTTGTTGTGAAACCCGAAGCCCCACCGCACGTGACCCTCGGCATCACGAATTCCCCTTTTTGTTTGGTATCCAAGGAGCCCTCGGGCACTGGAGGAGTGGAGGGGGGCGGGTTGGGAAAAGCTGCCGCATAAAAGCCCTGGAGGGGGAGGGGGGGGCCGCCTTAAAAACACAGAAATCGTAAGCGGCCCTATTTTGTTTATTGCTCTGTGGAATTGGATAAAGCAGATTAGCCCCGTGTAATGCGGGCAGACCTGAGTTTCACCTTCTTGTCGCCCTTCCCTCCTCCCTGCCAGCCCCCTTTGTCCTTTTGTGTCTATTTTTGGTGTGATGCTGCAGACGCCACGTGGTCAGTGAAAGGGAGCTTGCCTCAGTAAACAGTCAGCTGATGGGGCTGTGTTATTCCTTGCAACAAAATAGAACAACCGGATGGGCCAAGTCTGTTGATGGTGTAACTCTGCAGATGACCTGAAATTACACTGCTAATGGCTTTGGCTTGTGAAAAATTTTAATCTGTTTAGTTTTTGGGGTTTTTTGTTGTTTTTTTGGTTTTTGTTGTTGTTGTTCTTGCTTTTTTTTTTTTTTTTTTTAATTTCTAAATGTCAAGGGAAACGCTTTAAATCTTTAATTGTGGGTTTTTTCTGCTTTCAGGAACGAGAGTATACAGCCCTCCAGAGTGGATCAGATACCACAGATACCATGGGCGGTCAGCAACAGTATGGTCTCTGGGAGTTCTGCTATATGACATGGTTTGTGGGGACATCCCTTTTGAGCAAGATGAAGAAATCTTGAGGGGACGATTATACTTCAGGAGAAGAATTTCACCTGGTAAGTTCTATAGAAGTCTAATGGATTTTCTAGTTTTGGGGGTTATTTTAATAGTCTTGCACCTGTAAGCTTGTGTGGGTAGATTTTTGTTACTGAGGATTATCTTTTTTTTTTTTTTTACTTTTTTAATCTAATATGGCTTTCTTTTTTTGTTACAGAATGTCAACAACTGATCAAATGGTGCCTTTCACTGAGGCCTTCAGACAGACCAACACTTGACCAGATTTTTGACCATCAATGGATGCACAAATCTGATGTAGTGAAGTCTGAGGACTGTGACATAAGGCTACGGACCCTTGATACTGATGTATCTAGCACAAGTTCGAGTAATGAGAGTCTGTGAATTACTAAGGACCTCGCACTGGGAGGGGGAGCTTCAAGCAGAAAGACCACAGTGCTGCTGCCAATACATAGGAGGGGCTAGAAAAATGCATTCATTATTCTGTAGTTGAATCTTTGTCTGAGGGACTTGATTTTGTTTTCCCCCTTTGCTGGTTTCTGCTTTGGAATGAGAGATTTCCTTTGGAAACGCTGATGTTTGGGAGTTGCAGGCCAGTACTTAGTCAAAGACTGACCTTATTAAGAAAGCAGTGACCTCTTGAATACATGGTAAACTTTTTTGCTCTCATAGAGCCTGGACTAGATTTTATTTGCTTTTGAGTGCCTTTTTGAAAGCTGCTTCAGTGGGACTTTCTTTTTTGAGCTGTCTATGTCCAAAGAAGATCCAGTTCATTATAGGAATTTGCTTCCTTTAGACTCAGTGCTGGGGGAAGCAGCTCCTATGATGCATTGGAGAACCTGTTCGGTGATTGAATGAAGTAGTCCCATCCACTGGTGATGGAATACTTGAACACAGACATTTCACTCCTGCGCCCCTGCCCTTTACAAATCCAGCCCACCTCTGCTGCTCAAAATATTTCCTATAGCCTGCACAAAAATATGAACAGGTATATCAGCTTCTTTATCAGAAACATTTATTCATGTTTCCTTTTATCATCTCTACCATTGGGCATGAGAAGCCCCTTTCTCAACTCCCCCCCGGCCTTTTGTCACCCTGCGAGTCTTAAAGTATGTATGGGCATGTTGAATGCACAATCAATGCAATATTCAAGGACTTCTACTTTTTTTTTTTCCATACCTGTATAATGTGTTTATGTAAACTTGGTTTTTCCCGTGTACTATACAGTTATTTATTGTTTGGAATTTAGAAGACCTCCCACAGTTTTTAGCTGTGGCTATTTATTTGGTTAATTTATTTGGTTAGAGTTATTCAACACTGTGCTTTCCCCTCCTTCTCCCCATGGGAATTCTAGTGGTTTGCCCATGGCACTTTTTTTCTGCATTCCTGTCAACTTTTGGTTACAAAAAAAAATAAAAAAAAAAAATTTCTGACCTTACCAGTTTTTTGTTGGAAGATGGGAAATTGTTGTACAAAGTCTAATTTAAGGGAAATAGAATGACTTTTTAAAGTTAGTCAGTATGCCTTTTGTCTGGTATTATTGTACCAGAAGTGTAAAGTAATGCTGTTTGGAAGGGTTTTAAATTATTGACATTGTACAGTCTCCGTGCATTGGCTCTGGAAGGTAGAGTGGCAGAGTCATAAACCTTAATTTATTTTAATAGCTGTGTTTCTGTGATCTGGTTGCATTTATGCAGCTTGGATTTGGATTTTTTCTTCTGTTTAACGGTGTGAAATGTATGGAGATCATATTTTTTATACAGGTATTTCAATTAAACTTTTTGTATATAACAAGTTCTGTGTTTGTATTTACTTTTATCTTCGCTGTTACTTGTGATGAGCTGAGGAACACATTCTTACTGTGTCAAGCCTTGTTAAAGGCCTGCAGCAGCTGAGCCAGGGTTAGGAGATGGTCTATGCCATTAAGCAGTGACCATTTTGAAAGAATTAAGCAATCCCTCACCTGAGCTCTATCTACTCAATCACTGCGTTTATTGTTGGACTGGGGAAGGAGTACAATACAACAGCACTAATGGCCTACATAAAAGGGAATTGGCCCTGTAATTGTGGGACTTTTACCTCTGTAAACACTGAATATCAGTGTACTTGTCCTTAGGTATAACAAGGAAGGAATTCTGTAGCTGCTGGTGGTTCCTGTAGTTTTCACAGTTGATATGTTTACTTTCCATTACATTTCAGTTTCCTTCTTCCCACTTGCACTTTCCTTCTGGGTGTGGATGAGGACTTCTGTGCCCTTACGGGAAAGGGACAGCATTCTCAGGAGAGCAGGGTGACTGTTTTCCTTCAACTCCCTTAGATTACCAAAGCCTGGTGTGTCACTTGATGGAGTATGGTACGGGGGAGCATGTGCCATTCTCACTGCGGCAGAGGACAAGAGAAATGTCCTCGGCATTTATCTTCACACGTTGGGAGTCAAATCCTGCAGATTAACGATTTCATCCTGGTTTCTCTCTAGCCAGAGACTGACCTGGCTTGGTCTTGTTGCGGGGGTGGTAGTGATTACAAGGTTTAACTACTGCAGAGGGATCTGTGAGGTATATTTAAGGATGTGTTCGGTCATTAAAGGTGCTTTGTAGTTGTCACAGTAAAGGGCTAGGCTTAGAATCTTGGTTTTATGTTATTTCCCTTTCTGGGGATCCTTCTGCTGGCTCATCTGCTATTATTTTGGTTCCCTGTGGGTAATATCTCGCTGGCATCACATCAGGCTCCTGATGCTAACTAGTTTAGACTCAAAATGCCAACGAATAGCAGGAGGTAAAGCGGAAGAAAAAAGACCATTTTTGGTCTGTGCACTTTTCTGATGACACAGAGGGAAGGTGTGTTGCTGTTTCTTGGCCACAAAAAGAAAACTCAAATTACTCATCGATGAGAAAAAAAAGCCCTAACCACAGTTAGGAATTCTGTCCATCAGTTTGTTTCCTATGTTTTCTGATTTTGTTCCTTTCTTGTTTTAGACTAGTTTCCCCATGTTTTAATGAAAATCTGTATATGTGCTAAACCTAGTCCCTGAAAAGCTCAGTTGCCTTTTGTTGGAACTCTATTCACAGAAATAAAAGATTCTACATTTAAGATTGCACAGAAAAAAATCACAGTGTTCTTATGAGAAGAACACTTTAAAGTGAATATTTAGAGTTTCGCTTTAGAATGAGAAATTCCTTTTTCTTGAGAAGAGAGGATTCCGGTATGCTACAGGAGAGATGATCCCAGCACCTAGTGCACTTCTTTAGGGAAACGTTTCTAACCACAAGAGGTCCCTGGAGAAATTCCAGTAGCTGACAGTAATTAACATCTTCCACTCCAGTGACTTCACATGTTCACAGCTGTTCAGAGGGATGGCAGCAGGGCCCTATGGGTGAGCTTCAAAGGGCTACCAGAAAAGCGATTCTAAAAACACATTTGTAAAGCTATTGTTGATTGCTGAGCTAGGGACTTTCAACATTTCCACAAGAGCTGATGTTACTTTCCTTAGCTTCACTGAGAATCAGCGTAGAAACGCTCTGTTTTGAAACATAAAAACTAGGTTTTCACCTTTTGCTACTGAGGCAAAATGCATTAAAAGGATAAAGGTCAAAAGGACACCGGCACAAGTGCTGACTCCCTCCTGGGATTAGCTCAACATAAAAGGTGCACTTTCAGTGCTGCACAGGCAGCTTTGCTTGTGAAACTCCCCTGTACACTAATAGAAGCCATGTGGCTGAAACACCATGTACCAAAAGTAATGATTAGTAAAAATAGCTTTTCATTACAGTTGAAAGTTGGAAAATGATGTGTTAATATAGTTCCATTAGCTGAGTGTTTCTGCCAAAATGAGCAAGTCTGTGACAGCTCTTGGTTTCTCCTGTGTTTCTATCTGGTATTAATATCATTAAATGTTATTTCTCTGGGATCCTCCTTTTCATACTCTCTCCCCACTAGGCTGGTTTTCAACAGCACAAAGCTTGAAAAATAAAATTCAGCAGGTCATTTAAAACACTATGGTTTAAATCAGGGCCTGTTTTAACCTTGAAATATTGATTTACCAATACTCATACCTATGCATGTAGGTATGCTACTGGCTTCATAATAGATATTTTAAATATATTCTAATACTGAAATATCTTTAACAGTGTAGTGTTTTGCATAATTCATAGCCCTAGTAAAGCTCTTTTCCCTGAGTGTACATGTATACAGTGTTTTTTTTTTTTTTTTTTCTCTTTTTTGTTAACTGAGCTTATATTTGCTAGAGCAGCTGAACAAGAGCCCCTTTGAAAATAACTATCGGAGGATGTTAGGAAGGTTGACTAGGGTGTGTTCCTACCAAACACTTATGGTTCTCTCTCAGTGGTTTAGTGACCTCTGTTGGTGAAATTAAAGTACATGTTCCAAAAATAATGATGCATAAACTGGGGAGATTTTAAAGCACTGCTAGCTGATATTTTTAGATATCAGTGAGTATGGTTGATACCTAATTATCCCATAATGCTTGAAGGGGTATTTCACTAAAAATGAAAAATTTTAAATCACTACAAATGCGAAAATAACTTCCCAATAAAAATGGGAGGGGGGAGTATGTATTCAAAAGGTTGTCAAATCTGCATCTGATGTTATAGTGTTAACCTGCCTGGTGTGCCTTCAGTCACCTACCTACACGACTCTTGGCACGAGCATTTACAACCGTATTAGCCCTCATTCTTCCACTTCATTTCAGTAACCATGAGAAGCACTTGTCTTCTGGCATGCAGATGGGCAATAATTCTCAGTGGTGTAACTAGACAACAGAATGTTGTGGCCATATCAGCCTATTGTTAGTGGAATTTTTTCTACTAACAGCAGTATTCTACTTTTTTAAGAGTTCTTCTTGTAGAATTCTTCTGCTAATTTGTAGCAGAAGTCAAGGTAGCAGTGTTTTAGTTTCATGGCACTACAGTTTTTGATGCTGTCCCAAAATTTTCTCTGCTTGTAAATTTGCAATTACTTAGTTTCATGGTTATCCGTGATTTAGAAATTTAATATGCTTTTGCCTACAGCGTTCCTTCAGGTAGCTGATTTACCAGAAACATACTAAGCTTTGGTTATGTTGCAGAATTGCAAAACAAAATGATAAGGAGGCCACAAATCCATGCAACTAAAAATTAAATTAAATGTGTATAAGACAGGATTCCTAATTATTTTCAGAGAAAGTTTGTCTCATGACAGGTGAATTCATGTTATGACTAAAAAATGTGTCCACGTAGACATACTAGCTCTTTCTTTGATGAAGAGAAGTGACTAGAGAACACCAGAGCTGTGGTGTAACTCAAGGCAAAACGAGAAGCAGAAACATACATCCATTAAATACTTGCGGACGTTTTCTTAGCTTGCCGTTCTCTTCCAATAAATTTAAAAGGTATTCAATCTTTGTGTCCTTTACTGCTTGTAATTATTATTTGTAATACACCCTGGCACAGTCAAGTTGTAAGAAACATTAAGTGGTTTGCAATACTCTGATAAAATCGGCATGTTTGTATCTCAGATGCAAGGATTTCCTTTTCCTTACAATGCTATGAAGGAAATAACTTGCCTACGGAAACATTCTGCTTACATAATAATATAAATTCAATATAGGTCTCAGATTAGCTGTGTTTAAGCTCTAATTAATATGGTCTTAGTAAGAACGTTATCTATTATAGCTAATACTCTGCTAATTGACCACACAAACCATTATGTAAAAAGCTGCTTATACTAGTCCACTAAGAGAATTAGTGAGATGCATACTTTGACTTGCACTGTTTCTCAGGTGAGTCTGTGTTAAACATCAAAATTAGAATTAAGTCATAGTCAGAAAAGAAACTTGTGGATCAAAATTATTCTTTTTTATTATAACTGACTCAGCAGTCACTTTAAGGCTTCAGTTTGAATTACACAAAGATTACAGAAAATTATACTGAAAATTGAAATATTTGGTATTTTGCTCTATTATGGACATACTCCTGAAGCAAATGTTTTATTATTTTATGAATAATTGTCTGTGTAATAGCTAGGTGGGATTTTTTTTGTATGTTAGTGCTACTGAAAAAAATGCTCTTTTGTAGAAATAAAAAAAAAAAATTTTGCTTGAGAAACTTACTCTTGTAATTATGAATGGCCTGGTTTCAGGGTTGAAGTTTCTCCCCTTTTCTGCTTCCTTTCTTTTAAGACAGGAAAATATAAGCATCAAATATCAGTCTATTTGAATTAAAATGTATAAAAATGTTAACAAGCATATGTTATAAAAGATTGGAATGATGACTCCTCATAATTTATTGTTTTTCCAGAAGCTTCCAAACCTAATAGAGTCATGAAAAGGAACAGTCTCTTTCAAGATCATCCTAAGGAAAGATGTCCTTGTTTGTTTGTTTGTTTGTTTGTTTGTTTATAATGTCTAAGTAATATCAAAAGCCTTGAAATATAAATAATATATAATATATATAATATATAATAGAAAAATGTAAGAGACCACTGTTTTGCAGAGGGAAATTTGTCTATTGTCTGGGCAGATATAAATGGATAAAAAACTTAATCCACAAGAAGGCAGATTAAGTTGTGGTAAGGACGAGTTTTATATCTGTAAGGCTAGCTGAACACCAGAGTAAACAAACTGTGGGGTATAATAAATCAGTATTTTTAGAAACAAGAATTTTTCATAAATCATCTAGAAGTTACAGCTATTTTAAAATTTTAATTTTATCAGCCTAATCTTGAATTACAAAAACAGATTTCAGACACATCATTCATCTGCTTTTTGAATCAATATAAAATTTATTGACAGTGCTGGT